TACAAAATTGTTGATAAACCAACGTCATAAATTCACAACAATTATAAATAAGTACACTCATTAAAGCGAGTAAAAAATAATGTCAGCCGATAATTAAAAATTAGTATTTTTTGTACTTTTTGCTTTCTTCTTACCTCGGCAGTAATCTAATTTATATAAATATTAGTCTATTTTCTACGAGTGTAAATATGTATGTATAAATGTGCGTTCTTCAAATAAGAACAAAAAACAAACACTTTTCTTTGGCATAAAGACCGACCCAGTCTAATGTACTAATAGCCAGTTTCACGAAAGCAATTTAAGTGAAAAATTATTTTTTTATTTGAATTTAATATGGAAACTGACAGAGAATAAAAAATTTGTCGCTTAAATTATTTTCATGAAACCGGCAGTAAGTGTGTTTGTAAGAATTTTATTGAAAAGTTGATGCAGGCCCGTGAATGGCATAGAACCATATCAGATTCTGATTTTAAATAGTTTACTTTGAAATTATTACTAAGCTACATATTTGCCTCTAAATATATTTTGAAGTATCACATAAACTTTTATCAGCAACTGATAAGTATTGATAAACGAACCATAATGGTAATAAACTTTTGTATATTGTGTTGCTTGCCACGCATGACTGACGAAGAAATACATTTAAAATACATATTATCTTACGGAATTGAAATCATTAATTTACTCTTATCAATGCCCGCGAACAATGTACATACATATGTATGTGCGAATTTTCATAAGGAATGTCAACTAGTCGTAGCGCTGATTTCCCTAGTAGACTTTTCGTATAGAGCGTGTCAGACGTGGCAGCTCCATATATTTCGAAAAGGCTGTCAAATTGAGAAATTTCAGAAAGCAGTTGCATGAGCAGTCACACCTTGCGTGTAAAGTGTCATTTCCGAAAGACGAATTGCAGATTGCTAATGCAGCACGAGCAAGTTGAAATATATTTCCGAAATCGATTCGCGCTCTTTCAATTGCAGTCACATCTTGCAACTTTTATTTCTGAAACTGATTTCCGAAATGTGACAGAAAGATCTTTCTGGCTGTTCACACATCGAAATAAAATTTCTCTTTCTCAATTTGAGAGCTGGAAATATTGCCACGTCTGACACGCTCTTATGTTAGGCCGCCCCAATAGATTTTGCTCCAGATAGTAATTGAATTGTACAAGTATACATTTTCGTATGCACTCGTCATTCACACTTATCGACTTACATATGTAACTACTTGCATTGAGAGGTCATTTCAAGGTGAATCTCGTAATATTCTGATATTTAATCGCTTTCGGCACAACACCCACAAAGGCATGCATGCACATGTATGTACAAGTAATTGTGAATGAAATGCATTCGTTTGCGGTTTCAATTGTTGATGCTACTTATTGTTGATATCAATTATCATTACTATGTGTAAAAGTGCAACGACACTAAATAAAACCTAACTGTTTGCATAAGCATCGTAAATTGTCATATTTCACATCGCACATCGTTACATATATAACATAAGTATGTTTGTATGCATGTACAATATTCTTATTACACGAGAGTCACTAAGAAGATAAGTTAAAAATGCGCTTATTGGGTTTCAAGATATCTCAGTAGAAAAAAATGAGTAAAAAGCAATTACAGAAGACCTTCTCCTGATCTGGTGTTACCAGACATTTCTTCTTTGTGGCAATTTTTTGTATGTCGCCTTTCGATTTTGGTTCTGAAAAATTGTAATTGATCAACTTAATTACTAATTCCTAATAAATATTTGTTCTTTCTTTTCCTTGATTTGTTTATTTTCATCAGCCTTTGCGCATAAATCAAATGCTAATACGGTAAACGTCCCCTTTGAATGTGACAAAATGTAGACGGTGTCGTTTCCCAATTTTGTATGGGAAACTACAGAACCACAAATTTTACGTTTATGTAGACGTCTACATTTTGAGACACATTTTGGAATATTTTTTATATGGAACGGGCCCATTTGCAATACATTGCACTTCCGCTTTAGGGGAAACAGCTCATAAAGGCACTTATTTTTTATTCAGACCAAGACGAAGGCGATGGACTGCTCCTTTTTTTATGTACATACGTATGTATGTACATACATTAGAGTGGTCCAAAAAATTAAAGTCGGAGTTTTAAATGCCGGCGCACCCTAGGGTTGATCTATATCGAAAAAAATATACCTCTATTTTTTATTTTGAAATCAAAAAATATTTAGGGAGTGCTCAAAGCGCTCAAAGTTGTCCATGTATTTTATATGGCGAAAAAACATCTTTTCGTAGAAATAGTGTAGAATTCTTGAAAATCAATATTTTTCGATCGGAAAACTTTATTTATCTTCAGGAGATTCCCAGTAATAATACTCAATTGTTTCTTTAACAATTTTTTCATGGTAACTATATTTTATAGGTCCTCCAAAGCCCTTAGAAAATGCAATGGGGGACCAATAAAAAATCTTTAATCATAAAAAATGGTTAAATAAACAATTGGATATTAATACTGGAAGTCTCCTGAAGAGAACCACAGTTTTACGGTCGAAAAATATTGATTTTCAAGAGTTTTATACCATTTCTGCGAAATTTTTTTTTTCTCCATATAAAATACATGGAAAGCGCTTTGAGTGCATTAACTTCCAAGTAAAAACAATAAGAAATTAGTATGGGAATATCCCATCTGAGGTGCTTAAAACTTATATTTTTTTATGGTGTTTGCAGGATACCATATTTGCCTGTACATACTATATATATGTATGTACATAATATATGTATGTACGTGGGCATATGTACTACATATGTAAGTAATTCCAGAAACTTCGCAGCGCGGAATCAAACAATCTGCGAATAAACATTTATTGTTGCTAACATAATTTCAAATGCTTATCATTTTACGGTAATGAAAATTACGTACTTTGGTTCAATTCAAAAGTATTTACTTACATACATATGTACATGTACATACATACATACACGTGTATATATACATATGTATGCAGTTGCCCATATGCTTATCAATTAACTACATACATACATACAAGTGCACATTAGCGAGAAATTAGCTTTAATTGTTTTTGAATTATCTTTAAATTGTAAGCTTAAATTCTCATTAAAAACTTTGTATCAATTAAATTTTTTTTGTCATTATGCGTAACTGATGTGACCCTCTTCCTCTTCTTATTTGGCGCTGTAACCGCCTAAGCAATTTTGGCCGAGTTCAACAAAGCCCTTCAGTCGTTTTTCTTCTCCGCCAACTGAAGCCAGTTGGAAATGCCAAGTCCTGCTCCGCCTGGTCTTTCAATCACAGTGGGGGCATCCCCCTTCCTCTGCTACTACCAGTGGGTTCCAAGTTGAATACTTTTAGAGCTGGATCGTCGGTATTGAATCTGCTGCACTATGTCCATGCCGTTGTAAAGCTGATGCAGCTCATCGTTAAATCATCTGCGGTACTCGCCCTCGCCGATGCATCAAGGCCGTAAATCTTCATTCGAATACTACAAGGCCGTCTCATCGGATGTTGTCATTTTCCATGCTTCTCCGCCAATTACCAACACGGGATGATGAGTGACTTATCGAGTGAGGTTTTCGTACGTCGAGAGAGGACTTTACTCCTGAATTGCCTACTCAGTCCAAAGTAGCTTTTGTTCGCCAGAGTGATTCTGCGTTGAATTTCGATGCTGACATTATTATCGGTGCTAATGCTGGTTGCCAAGTAACAGTGACGACGGTGATAAGGTGCGAATGCGCTGACTGTTTGTTTTATGACAGGAGATACTTCGTCTTATCCTCGTTTACCACCAGACCCCTTTGCTTTAGCTCCCTCCTTCCTTCCTTATCGAACTTGGAAAGGGCATAACAGACATCGCGGTTTTGGTATTGCTCAACGATTTACACAGCCGTATAAACTTCGCTGAGATGCCAAATTTAAACATCGCGGCGTAAAGGCTAGGCAACTCCTTTTAGAGCAGTCGAAAGCGGCTTTGAAGTCGACAAATAGATAGTAAGTGTTGATCCTTTTCTCGCGGGTCTTTTCTAAGATTTAGCACATTGTGAATACGTGGTACTTGATTAGCTCAGCTGGCAGGCCGTCAGCTCCAGCAGTTTTGTTGTTTTTCAGCCGCATAATTCGAACATCGCCTCCGTGGTCATTGACTGAGGGCTCGTGTTCGTCTTCTCCACAATTTTCCATGCTTCTACCATTCTCTAGGATGCAAAAGTGTTCCCTCCATAGCTGAAGTACGTCGGTCACTAGTCTTGAAAACTTCCGTAAGTCGCCTTACTCTCTTTTTGGGCGTTTTCCCTGTCGGCCAGCATTTCAAGCTCTTAGCACTCCCGTATTTATGCCTCTATCTTCTTATAGCGGCAAAAACGTCTCGCATCCCTCTACACTCTTCCTATAGCCGTCCCACATAGCTTCCGTTGGGCCGTTTTTTTTTTTTTTTTTGGTTGGAAGTAGATTAAGAATTCTGACTTTCAATTGACTGCTATGTATGATCCCGCTTGTCCAAATTTTGGGTATACATACATACTCGGTTTTATTATTGCATTTTTTTATTTATGTACATACATACCCTGCAAACCATTTTTTCAGAGTATTCTGAATCGTAAAGAAATTTTAACGAATTCGGAAAGATCCCATCCGATTTTTTTCCGAATTTTCTAAAATGAAATAAATTACGCACACTTCCATTCTTTTACGAAATTTCGGAAGAAAATCGGTGAAGAAATGAAAATAATGCTGCTATGTGAAGAATTTCTTGCAGACTTTTTTCAGAATTTTCTTTATTTTTCGTACAGAAATTTCTTTACGAGTTCGTGTCAACCACTTCATATAATTTTCTTTGAAGATTCGGAAAAAAATCTTTACAGAAATCAGATACTCGTAAAGATTTCGTTAAGATTTCGGGAACTTTGGTTTGCAGGGTACATACATATGTACATATCTTAATTTTTATGCGCATTTAAAACTACATACACAGAGATTCAAATGGCATATTTTCTTATTTTATAATTTCAGGGTGTGAAAAAACCTTTCGATCAAGTCATTCGTGCTAATATCGGTGATTGCCATGCTATGGGACAAAAGCCTATCACCTTTCTGAGACAGGTAAAATAAAATTAATTAAATTGAAAAAATACAACAAAACAAACAAAAAATTAGATTAAATAAAATTATTATACACTAAATTGAACTAAATGTAAATTCATTGAATTAAATTAAGTTATATTAATTTGAGTTTTATTTAATTAAATTTAAATTAATTAAATTAAATTAAACTTTAGAATTGACAAAATAATCAACTTCGCTCTTATATAAATATGTAAAGTATCGTAGTCGATACCTAACGTAATTTACATTCCCGTGCCTTATAGATCGATCGATAATGTTTATATTCTTTTCAGCTTATGGCCCTAACCTTGGATACAAGTCTTTTCGATTCACCTAACTACCCAGAGGATGTGAAGAAGCGTGCGCGCATCATTTTAGATGGCTGTCAAGGGAAATCAGTTGGCTCCTACACCGACTCGGCTGGCATTGAAGTGATTCGTAAGCAAGTGGCGATTTCATTGAGAAGCGGGATGGCATACCAAGCAATTGGGAGAATATTTATTTAACAGGTGGTGCCTCCCCAGGCATCAAAAGCATATTGGCGCTCGTTCGGTGGGTATTTCAATGTAACAGTTTTACCTAACAAGCATTGCATGATCAATTTAATATCCTTTAAAATACAATACTACAGCTGTAAAATTGGCGGCAAACGTCCCGGTGTAATGGTTCCCATACCCCAATATCCACTGTATTCGGCTACAATTTCGGAGTATGCCATGACTCGTATCGGCTACTACCTGAATGAAGAACAAAACTGGAGCATGGAAGTTTCGGAACTCGAGCGAGCCTATCAAGAAGCACGTAAAACCTGTGAACCACGCGCCCTAGTTGTCATCAATCCGGGCAATCCCACCGGTCAGGTGCTAACGCGTGAAAATATCGTAGATGTAATTAAATTCGCACATAAATACAAGCTAATCGTATTGGCTGACGAAGTGTATCAGGCTAACATTTGGGCTCCAATTCGAAATTCTACTCCTTCAAGAGTGTAGCACATGAAATGGGTTCACCCTACAGAGAAATGGAATTTGTAGCTTTATGTCGGCCTCAAAGGGCTACCTAGGCGAATGTGGTATACGTGGTGGCTACATGGAGATAGTGAACATGTGCCCAAAGGTGCAAGCCACGCTAACAAAGTCCATAACCGCTTCGCTATGTCCAACTTCTGCTGGTCAGGTGGCTATTAGCGCATTGGTAAGTGAATGATGTGGCATTGAGTTGCTTTGGTCAATTGCTTGCTTCAACATGAACAATTGTTTGTAAAAATACATCATTTAAATTTGTAGGTTATCCACCAGAAAAGGGTCGAGCCTTCATACGAACAGTATATAGCCGAGAAAGCAGAGGTTTTGAATGCCCTTAAAGAGCGCGCCGAGTTAGTATACAAAACATTCAACAGCTTTGAGGGATTCAAGGTGAATGTGGTACAAGGCGCCATGTACGCTTTCCCACAAATCGTTATACCAGCTAAGGCTATCGCGGCAGCAAAGGCAAAGAATATGGCGCCCGATGTGTTCTATGCCTTTGAATTGTTGGAATCAACCGGTTAGTATGCATGCCCCGCTGAACGGTATTTTGCATTTTATAGCTCATGAGGTTTTAAATTGAACAAAATTTTTTATTCTAACCATTTTTAGGCATTTGCATTGTACCTGGCAGCGGTTTCGGCCAAAAAGAGGGCACCTATCACTTCCGCACCACAATTCTGCCTCAGACCGACAAACTGAAAATCATGTTGGACAAATTTCAAACTTTCCACGCTGATTTCATGAAGAAATATAAGTAAATTGTATTAAGAAGATTTCATGGAAATCTGATGCTATGCAAAATATGTATGCCATCTACCATCCATCCATTGAATGGCGTGGCGCCATAGTATACTACTAACGCACCGTGGTTTGAAACTTTAATTTACAGTTCATAATACTCCAGAGCCTTAATTTTTTAACCAATTTGATAATTTGTTTTTTTTTTTAAGGAAAGCCTATAAAATGCACATTAACCTGTTGAGCCCGATAAAACTGAATGCCTAAAATTTTTGCACAAATACAAAAAAAAAATTGTGAAATTTTTATTTATAATATTTCAAATTTTTCATGTGTATTTTTTTACGTTTTGGGGGAACCCTATAATTTTTTATACTATATAACATTATGTGGTACAGGAGAATCGATTTTTTCAAAATTGCTACTTTTTCGGTACTTTACACTTACAAACTTATAATCTATATATGTAATAAAATTGTAACAGCACAATGTCTGTACATTATAGATATTAAAGAAAACTTAATATGGGGGGTCTTTATTAGAGCAATAAAAGCCAAATCAGCAATTTTTTAATTTTTTTTTTTCTGTATGTATGTTTGTACGCACATCACCTTAAAAGTAATGCATGAAATTGGTTTAGAGAGTTGCCACCTGTTTTGAAATTACAGTTTAAGTAAATTGATAAGATAAAGCAAATATTGCAATATGGCTGTCAAAAAAAAGAGATTTACGAAGGCTTACAGCCGAAAATATTTCTGAGGGTTGCCACCTCTTTGAAAAATTTGACTTAATTAAATTGATAAAATAAATGAAATATTACAATACGGGTATCAAACAACAAAAAATACTTTTAAGGCGCCGTGAAGTGCGTCGGGTATTTGCTAGTAAATAAATAAAAACTCAAAAATCGGGCTCTGCACGTATCTTGTAAATTTTAAAAGTTTTCATTTAAAAATGAAATTTATCAAATTGGTTAAAGCTCTGGAGAATTATGAAGAGTAAACTCCATCAGTTNAATATACATGAGCGCAGTTCAAAACATTTTGTATACAAAGTAAGAAAGTATTAAATTAATAAAAATCTTAAATTGAAAAAATTAGAATCATTTTGAAATGCGTTTTATTATAAGAGGAAGTGTAGAGCCCACAATATATCACTAGTTCGCGATGCATCTGATTCTTCTTTGGCGCTGTGAACACCTAAACGATTTTGGCCAAGTTTTTTTCTCAACCATTGCCGAGCGGGCCTTCTGACGGCCCCAAAACTAAAGCTGCCTTTTTACGGATCGATTTTTGTCGTTCAACCAAAATCGGCTCGTGTAAATGTCAATTCAACCGTAATATGTAAGTAAATGTTTTTGCTAGTCGATTTTCCAGTCGACCGAAATCTAACCGAGTAAAGGCAGATAAAGAAAGCAGACAACGTTTCAAGCGACGGGTATAGTGACGCAAACACTGTGTCCAAATGCGTGGCTCTATGCTTCATCAGCAATTGCTGAACCACAACTTCAGAGGTCCAACATTCGGTGTCAGAGTCGAGGCATCCCTTGACGACGCTATTTTCGTAGTCCCAGTGGACTTGCGAAATGATATGAAGTCCGAGGATGTCGATATGCTAGAGAATGGTGAGGCTACTATAGATTATTCTTCATCGTTCTAAGGCCCTTTCGACCGTTTTGCTCCCGCACCTAAATTACGGTTTATTATACAGTGCACCACAAAAATCTAGGCACAGAAAATTTTGCACGATGTAAGCAAAGTTTTTATTTTAATTTGTTTTCGCAATATTTTTTATAAAAATATGGTCGAACATATCGAGCAATAACGTGGGCTTATAATCAATACCCTCTATGTATCTGCACTTTTCACAAAAATGAGATTCTGATATAAAAATCCACCTAAAGCTTAACTGTCATCGGAGATATTAATGCTAACCTTGTATAACAGAAGAATTTACTATTAAATTGCAAAGTCAGATATCATATCAGTGTTGATAGATAAGTCCCAGTGGGTTCTAACATCACGCAGTTGTTTTTGGTGAAAATTGCAGAATTTTTTTTTTTTGGCGGTTAGGGCTCGATACTTTGTATGGAAGAAAATGCGTAACACAAAAAAGCCATAAAAATCAAACTTGAACTTGAAAAACTTGAACTAAAATTTATTAGGCTACAAAACTCCAAATTTTATAAATTTTTTTCAGTGTTGCACAAAATTCTATACTCTATTTTTTTATTTTTTTATTTTTTCTTGTGGTATGAACTACACATCACTGAAATGGACAAATTCGAGACTAATATATACATATATATATGAAATCATACCAATAGTTACGTCTTTTTGCATTTCAGGTGATGATATATTAAAAAAAAAAATCAAAACGAAATTAAACTAAAAAATAATAATTCGAAGAATTCTCTGCGCCTAAAAATTTGTGTTGACTGTAGATACCAATTTCAAAAGAATAAATTCTGTCATAGTGAATTATTGTAGTAGTATTCGTATTACTGCAAACTATCGTTATATAGGAGGTAGGCGTAGTTACCTTCAGATTTTGTTCGTATATTAACAAAGTTTAAACTTTTTCTCAAATTTAAAAAAAAAATATGCATGTTGTTTCCCCCTTTTGTGTTGAGAGTGCACTGATTCTTCGCAGTTTTTATAATCACCTCTTCTAGCGTTATACCTTAAAAAATATGTTGGTGTTTGACTCATTTCCTAATCATTCTATTACCCTTATGTTTGTCGAGTAGACCTTTGCATTGATAAACACGTTGTATTTATGAAAACAGGCATACGTATACTGGAGAATTTGGACCCAAGAATAAAATCTCCAAAACTTTCTTAGAGCAAAAATGTAATCTTTAATACATACAAACTTTAATAAATTAATATTGGTATTCTTCAACTGACAGAGACTTGGTTTATGTTTATAGGTAGGTTTTAAGTTAAGCACGTGCCTTCAGACAGCCTCATTGCGTCAACCATACAATGTGCACGGTCTTAGCAATAGTGTTTTTTGTTGTAGTAATTTTATGCGGGCTATTATTACAAATTGTCTGCTCGCACTACCATTTACTAAGAAAAAATAATAAAAATTAAATAATACAATGAACATGACTTCATTATAATCAACATTATTTATAAGATCGGTACGCGTTCTCCAAGGGCAAATACTCAGTTTTCGTCCAAATGTACGAAAATAGAATATTACTATGTACATTACAAGTTTGGAGGAATCCACTTAATACTACAATAATGATGACTAAGCTAGGCGCACTCTTCATATATGCAGTAAATTAAGGTTATTTAATATAAATCGCTTAAACTAAAATTAGTTAGCAACAGTACTTTAGAATAGTACTATACATTTTTATGCAGTATGTAGTTTCGGCGGCAATAGTATACTGCATTACCAAGCACAAAAAATTCATTGTAGTTATGAAACTATTTTGTTGTTTTTTTTCGATAATGTAAACTATTTTCCATTTATGAAAATTGCTTCGTTTCGAGTTTGACTGATTGTGAGTTGCAGCGAATGCGAAATGTTTTTATGTTGTTAGTATGACTAATCACTAGTTTTTAGTCGTTTCACTGGTCCTTCGCTGCCTTGAGAGTTGGAGTCCTCAGAAAATGGCATGCTAGAGACAAATTCGGTGGCACCTTGTGAATCGCTTACCATGGAGAAACCTAGAAGGAAGGGAAAATTTATTTAATGATGTTCCATGTGACATGCATATAAATATGCGAATATTTTTGCAGCATAAAATTTTAAATTCGAATGCAAACATTTGAACTTATCAGTTTGTGTGCTTCGACTCACAGGTGTTCGAATCTTCCGCAGTCAGACCGCCATAGGGCGTTATTTGCGGTGGAGTTGGCGTGCCTTTCTGCGAGTTCTCCTTATCGCTCTTATTAGCGTTGCTCACTTTTTTCTTTTCTGAATTGATATAGGCACCCATTTGTAAATTTTCATGGTGGTATCGCCAATGGTTACCCATTTCTTTTCCCTATGTTTTGAAAATAGTTTCAAATTTTATATGGTACATTTTCACATAAGGTGGAGGCCATCTTACCAATGTCTCACTTTTTCCACTGCATTCATTACCCGTTTGATGTCATCTTTTGCTCGGCTACGAGTTTCTGCTCTAACGCTACGCGACATTTTCAACTATTTTATACAGTATTTATGCTAATTTGTCGATTTTTTGGTAATTAAATTGCAAAGACTTTCGAAATTTGCAGCTTTCAACTTGAACGATGTAAACAGAAAACGAAGATTCGTCGAAAATGGCCGCTAAATGCCGAGTACGACTATATGACAGCTGACCATGCCTTTAGGGAGAGTTTACAGAGACGTTTATTTAAAAAAGAAGTAGGGTTGTTGTTAGTTTATTTCACTGCTCATGTGTTTATAGACCCAATAGATGACGAGGAATGTTTAAAGAATCTAAATCATTATACAACGATGTTCAGAAGTGCATTATAAACTGCCTTCTGAGTATTCTTTCGATTTTTAAACTTATAAAAAAATTGATAATGCTGGGCACCTTATGCAAAGAAAAAAATCAATAAAACAAACGAGTGTCAAAACTTAACGAAGCAGGGTGATCCATGTACTGAGAAAGAAGAAACGTTTCTAGGATTTTAGGAAACTTTGTTTAAATAATGGAACTGTGTTAGCGTTCTTTGCATTAGCACTAGGCGATTTTTTGAAATGCGATAATCGCCTGCAAAAGTGGTTTTCCTGTTTACTTTGGTTGAATCGCCATTTACACCAAAGAACGTAAATCTAAAATTTACCTTCTTTGGTAGGACGAAATTTTATCGTACATAACACACTCAATCTGCACATCGGCGACCAACACAAAACTTTTCTAGTTTACACAGACCGTATGTGTATGGTGTAACGGGATTATTTCGTAGATTCACGTACTTTTCGTACGAACTGGGTACGAATACGGCACTTCCATTTCTACTCTGCACTCGCTCCAATTGGATACTCGTTAGGTTTTCACTTACGGTAAAATGCAGCCCTGCACCGGGGTGGCAGGTGAAAAATAATTTTGACAACCTTTGTACGAAAACGACCGATCGAGCGAGTGCGAGTGTTAACATGCAGCGTTGTGAAAATCGTTCAATTTTAATAAATAAATTGTTCGAGAATCACTGCGAAATATAAGTTATTTATTAATTTTTAACGAAGTCGATGTGGTATTCAGAAATTCATTCGGTAAGCGTGTGCGCGAATCAAATTGTGTAAAGAAGTGGTGCTGTTTTGGACTTGCAAAAAGTGCTGTCATTTTCAAGGTGTAGCGACACCGCAGAAGGAAAACTCGCTGCTGGCTGCATACCATATACGCAAGGAAATCCCATCGTCAGGCTCAAGGCGAAAGACGTCCGTAAAATTTTCCAAAATTTTTCCATTTTGCATTTTTCTGTGAGAGATCTTTCAGCCAGTTTTCGACCAACCTTGTGTGAAGTTGGATGATTAGAGGCGTCGTCGTCCGCTAAGTAGTGGGAAAATTCAATAGGCAAAAGAAAAAATGAAAATTGGAAGTGTATTATTAGCCATGGTAGGCAAGGGCGATGTGCGGCAGTGGCCAATTGCTTGATGTGTAATGTGTAGTAGTTAAACCGAATGTGGTGGAAAAGTAAAGTACGAGAAAAAAGCTTTAATTGAAAATATATAAAAAGGCCAAAAAATACAACATAAAAAATATACACAACGACCGACCGAAAAAAGCAAAGTAGAAAGTGCGACAGCCAGCGAATGACGTCCGACAATTGTTAAACAACCGTGACGGTGCGCGTGGAAGAAACAAAGTGGTGTGCAAAAAATTGCAGGCGGCGCGGTGCAGTGCAGTACGGTACGGTACGGTTGGGCGTGTGTGCTATGCCTGCATTGAAGGTGAAGGAGACGTGTATGAAAATAAAACACAATTTTTTTTATAAAAACAAAAGATCAATATATGTAAAAAATGCATGTGCTAAAAAGGTAAACAAAAAACTAAAATTACCACGCGAAATGTACTCCTAATAAGGGAACCTTCTCGTATTATAAGCCTTATCTATTCCGACTTAAGATCCTAGTCACCAATTCATTGCTCTCATACCTAACATAAAAAAATTAACTACCAACTCTTTACATAAATAAACGTGTAATCTATTCGCTGCCGTCTCCAGCTATTGCACTTTAATTTATTTACTCATTGTTCTTAGTGCTTCCGTTCTTCCATTGTTTTCACTGGCGCTATAGTGTCAACAGCTGTTACGTCCAATCATTTTTTATCTGCTAAACGGCTGTCTGACAAACGGGTTCGTGGTCATCAAATCTAAAAACGGAAAAAATAAATTATTTGTGTGAATTAGTATCAGAATGCCCAAATGCGACATGAAGACTCGCTACATTCCTGCTACATTTGCCTGGATTCTGCTGCTCTCCACAACGTTCCTCTTCTTTTTCTATCCGTAAGTACCTTCTGCAAAATAGTTTATACAATGACGCTAGTCTAGGCTTAGTATCTAGTAGGAAAAAATATTGCTAAATAATTAGAATTTTTTAGCCCAGCTTGAGGTTGATAGAAGAAAATTGAGGGGCGTGGCAGATGCCGCCAACCCACCTTAATGGCCAAATTCAACCACTAAAATGTAATTTATACTTTTCCGATCAAATTTAACAAGCATTTTATGAATTTGGTTTTTTGGATCAAGAATAGGTGTTATATTTAGTCTTTTAATGCTATGACTAATACTTATTGATGGTTATTTGTGACATTAATTGTTCCGTCATACCACAAGCGTTATGCCCAATTTCCACTAGGCATTGGAATGACAAAAAATGTATGCCTTTTAAAAAAATAGCGTGTGGAAATGAATTTAATGTCTATTTTTTATCGTAATAACACGATTATTTTTTAATGCCCAACTTTGTCATTTTTGCCATTTAATGCCTAGTGAAAATCCAGTATTATATTCAAATTTAAAATAAAGGATTTAATACGCTCATTATAATCCAATATAATATTTATATTTACATTAACTAGTAAAGCGTACCTATCTCTTAAATTTTCCATAATCTAAGTACATATGTATGTATGTACATATCGACTGCTGAGTGGAAGATCGACCTATCTCGGCAGCCAGTTCGAACACGCTCATATCTCAAAAACTGTTCAAGAACGCCCTATTTCAGAATTTTATCGAAAAACACTCTATCTCAGAATTTGGTTGAAGAACGACCTATTTCAGAATTCGTTTCAAAAATGCCCTATCTCACTTCAAAATGTATTGAAGATGTGCTGATATAGGGCGTTTTTGAATCGGCAGCTGAGATAGTGTGGTTTTGAAACGAATTCTGAAACAGGGCGTTCTTCAACCAAATTCTGAAATAGAACGGTTTTGAAAAGTTTTTTTTAGATAGGTTGTTTTTTTCTAACCCGTCATTTTATTGGGTTTGTCTTAAAAACTATCCAATTACATTTTTATGCAACTCGAACCATGACAACCCGTGGGTCGGGTACGATATGTCGAGATTTAAAATGTCAAAACTAAAAACACCGAAAAAGAATGTCGAAAAAACAGCTACAAAATCAGGAATGTCGAAACAAAATTGTCGAAAAGAAAAATGTCGAAAAAAATAAATCGAAATAATTTAATCAATGATGTGTAAAATTCGATCGAATTTCAACAGGTGTATTTATTTAAGTTCAATTCCACTAATCCTGTTACTAATAGTTATTATAAATGTGAAAGTTTGTGAGTGAGTATGTCTGTTGCTCCTTCACGCTAAAACGTCTAGATGTATTTCAATCAAATTTGGAATGCAGATAGCTTATATCCTGGCTTAATATATAAAATATGAAGAGAATTGCCACCTCTTTCAAAAGTTAAAATCGATTAATTAACAAGGCAAACAAAATATTACAGCAATGCGGGTGTCACACGAAAGCGGTTAAGAAACTATATATTTTGAAAGAATTTTTAAGAGGGTTGCAACCGGTTCAAAAAGTAATTAAAAACATTTAAATAACACGTTGAATAAAATATTATAATATGTGAGTGAGGTTTTAGAAAGCTTAATTTAGAAAATATTTTTGAATAGGTTGCCTCCTTACTTTTGTATTTACTCTGCTTTTACTTGGCTTCTTATACTTTTTAAAAACTAATCTCTAATATGGACCACATTAAAAGCTCCTTTTCATATAGAAATTTGTAGGTGTCCCCCCCCCCGCTAAAGAGGAATTTCGGATTTTTTTATAATAAAGCCATCATTTTTGTTTCCTTTTCTGCTTTGTTAGTATTCGTGGGTCTTTTTTTATTATAAGACATCAGGTTCACACTCAAAAGTGAAATAAATTCACTGAGTTTCCGTAAAATCTATCTGCTCCAAAAAGCAGGTTCGTTTTTGTCCCACCCGTGACTGAAGAAATAACTAAGATTTTTTTCATATAAAAGTAAGTTAGCATTTTTTTCCTATTTGGTAATAACTCATATAATAATGGATTAGATGTAGCTTTACCAAAATGTGGAATTGTTGAGTACTTTATATTTAAATTTAAAAAAGAAAGAAATATGTACAATGTTGGCCATATCTATATCACCCCCTTTTCAAAATGATATTGTTTGCCATTTATAATAAATTATTCATTTTTAAGAATTTTCAATGCAAATGCCGTTCATCCTAACAAAACCATATAAACGCACTTTTTAAACTTTGTAAAAGAAAAAAATGCAAAAAATGTTCACCCAAATTCTTATTTTTTCTCAGAACAGTTAGAATTTTTTTAAGTACGCAGTTTTATAGCCCATTCAATTTTAGTCAATAACGTGCAAGTTTCAAGTAGCTACAAATTACCGTTGATTTTTTAGATTTTTTTTGTCGCATTTGCTTCCATATAATGAATAAACGCAATTTATTTTTATATTCAAGAAATCCGCAACGATTTCGGTGAAAAAAAATTCTGAGAAGAAAATTAGAAATTTTGGGTGAAAATTTGCAGAATTTTTTTGTAGTTTTACAGTTTTGTAGTTGTAGTCTACAATGTTTTAACATTGGATTTTTATGGGTTTTGTTAGAGAATGAACTGTATTTTAATTTAAAATTCCTAAAAATAAGTAAATACTCATTAGTGGCAAATAATATAACTTCGAAATGGGGGTGCTATTGTATTTTTGCCAATAAAGTCGTAACTTTAATGCTCTCACCCCCTATATGATTCTATATCAAAAAAAAATATATATCCCTACATTTTTATTTTTAAATCAAAAAATATTTAGAGGTCGCTCAAAGCGCTCGAAGTTTTCCATTTATTTTATATGGGGAAAAAACTTTGAAAATCAATCAGCTTTATCATGAGTTTCATTTTCCCCACCCGGTTCACTTTTCACTTTTGGTTTCCACGTATTTACTATGCCGGAATAAATATTTTCAGAGGAATTTTTTTTTTGGTGAAACTCGGGATAAGGCAGAATATTTTTCGATCGGAAAACTTTTGTTCTCTTCAGGGCACTTCCAATAATAATACCCAATTGTTTATTTAACACATGAAGTGTGAAGCCCGTCCGTTTTGGTATGGAACGCCCCATATACATACATATAACCATACTATNTATGTACTACATATTTTCTTTTGATGCAATTTTAATGATACAGATTTTGGTGCCATAAAGACGCTACAACGCAATCGAATTTATATTCGTTCAAAGACAGAATCAAACGCAGAATTAGAAATTAAAAGCTAAATTAAAAAAGAATTACTAATGATAAAAGTTTATTTCANTACATATAACCATACTATTAATGCACCCAAAATGAATGACTATACGCACAGCGAAAGAAGAAAATGATTTGCAAAAGTTTCTTCGACGCGGCATTAAAAACTTTCTTCGGCGTTTCACAGAGAAAATAAAAATCGTCGGCTCTATCTCCTAAAAGTATGCTTGATTTAGTTTAATGTGCCGTTATTTTGGCACAGCCAAACCGTCGTCGTTTTACTCATCAAGCAGAATAGTAGAAAATACTTCATGTGTAGTAGAAATAAGAATAACAATGTGCAATGAATAATTGGAATGACTGTTGTTAATGGCGAAATGTGAACAGTTGTACTCGTAGTGACTATCGTATATCAAGTGCAGTAGTAACTAGCGGGCACTTGCTGCTTTCAACTTTCTTCCCATACTCATCTGTATCTGCAGCAATCAGACACGTCTGCGCATTCTAGTCGTTGTGGCGGCTAGTCGTTGCAACTGCAAATTTGTCTTTTTATGGCACAATCCATAAAACACAATCAAGTAGCGAGTAAGGTTTCTGGCCCGGTATCCGGCTAGTGGCCGTACATGGCAGGAACTAGAAGATGAATAATACGTATTACATGCACATATGTATGTATTTATGTATATACATACATATGTATATGTAAATATGTATGCACTGGAAATAACAAACGAATCAAATATTTGCAAATATTTTATAAGTATTATTTCCAAAGTGACTACAAATGTATTAAGAGTCATAAAGTCAAAATTGCATGCCATATTTCGCCTTCATCCGAACTTTAATAACCAACAGCGGATAGTTGCTTAGAATGAGGCCATTTATGTATGTACATAGCTACAACCACTTGAGTCAAGTAGTCGGAATGATGTTTTCACTTAAATGTATGCATATGTGTGTATGTATGTATGTATACAATTTTCATGGGTTTTACCTGTATATATTATAAAAACCGTATACACACATACTATATTTTATTTATTGTAAAGTAATTGAATTCCCAAAATGCCTACTTTTCATTGTAGCACTGCTGCTTAGAGTCTCCAAGCAAGAAAAATAAAAGCAAGTTCTGATTTAGGAGCATGCATACCCAAGTATGTATGTACAGTTGTCCACAAAATAATAGGAGTGGGATATTTTAACCTGTTTTGGCTATTTGTCTTTAGTTTATTTAATGTTTCGTATTTTTTTGTAAAAGCCTAGCTGGTAATACAACAAACACCATATAAATTTACATTTTCAAGTTTGTACAAAAATTATAAAAATTCTGCAAATTTTCACCAAAATTTCAAACTATTTAACCAGAATCTTTAGAAAATATGTTGGTATGCAGTTTTGTAGCCCATTCAATTCTAGTCTGAAGAAGTGCAAGTTTCAAGCTGCTAAAAAATTCCGTTGATTTTTGAGAATTTTTTCGGTTGAAGGTGTTTCACGTTTTTTCCATACAAAGTATGTTCGACAATTTTCTTTTATATGGGGACAGTGCCAGCAAAAAAAATTGCCAAAAATCAACGGAATTTTTTAGCAGCTTGAAACTTGCACTTCTTCAGAC